CTGCATGGGGTAGATAGACACAGTGCCTCCCCTAAAGTAGCTACATGTACTGTGGTCACAAAAAAAAAAAAGGTGAACTCAGCACTTTGAAAAATCTGTGAAATTCACAGCAGCAAAGAACAGGCTTACTAATCAAAAGAGGTGAAGCAATCTTGCTTGCAAAGTAATGAGCACTACTTACTGTAGTGAAGGAACCCAAAAGCCATTGGAAATACCTGCTGTTCAAAACGTTAGCTGCCAGTTCTTTTCAGAGGGGAAGAACATAGAACATCCAGCCAATGATGCTCATGAATAGTGCCAGGAAAACAACTCCAACTTGAACAGAAACATAAGAGCACAGCCAGGCAGGTACAGAAGAACTACATTTCAGAATGCGATTGCTGATTTTAGGTACTGAATAACCAACACGTCATTTTGATACAAGTCATTTCAACATTTCTGGTCCAAGAAACAGGGTCTCTTTAATAAACTCCAATTGAACTACGTCAAAACAGATATTAAAATTTAGGTCACATATCAGAAAGCCGAGCCAGAATCAAACATGTTATGCTTTGGGGAGCTTCTCTTGAATACAAGAGAAGAATCACACCATCAGTATTGTTAGCCATTAGAAGATAACTCTTTTAGAATGTAGACTTTTTGGCACATTAAATCATTTTGATTATGTGGTAAACTCCTATACTACACCATGAAAATACCCTATTTAATTTCATACTAAGTTTTAACTTCCCTTTAAATTTAGAACAATATTACAGATCTTACAAGTGACACTTTGTCTGATGACATCATTACAACAGTATCACTAGAAATAAGTTTACTTCTCTAGAGCCATCAGAATACCCACAAAATGGTATCAGACTAACACTATGACTAATTCGTTCACCACAAAGCACAGATGACAAACATGAGGGACACTTCCAACCACAACACTTACATTGCTGGTTTCTTTCAGACAGGTAAAGCAATGTCAGAAGCAGCAGTTTACCTTTCAGACAGGTAAAGCAACTCAGAAGGAGTCAGAGCAATGTCACTGACAGTACTATTGCTGTGGCATGAAGAGATGCTGAGAAAATTCAGTGACATAATGCTTTATGCTAATACAAGGATAAAGATGCAACTATTATGGTAACACAGATCTAAACTGTACTTTATTAGATAAATGTAAAAGCAACAAATATGTAAACATGTAAAACATCTTGACAGAAAGATCATTTCTCTACTGTAGCCTAAACTGGATAGGGTCACAAATTAAATCTACAGAACCAAGACTACATAGTTCATTTCAGAGCATTAAAAATGTGCTGAAATTTTCAAATGGATAAAAGATATTCTAATAAAAAATTGGGGAGGGAATTGTTAAGAAATTGATAGTATGAAAATACACATTCATTCTGGGCTTACCTGAATTCTCTACAGAGGAGTGGATATATAAGGCGTTTATATGCATCCTCTACCGAGTTCCGTAGTATCCTCATTAATTCTGGTTTTAAAAATTGTTTTGGTCTCCATCTGCAAAAGAATAGAAAAAGAAAAATCAAAAAATATTTTAAAGAACATATGCAAAAACTCAGATAAAAAGGGAATTTTCAAACAAAGACTTCTACATTGAGTGTAATGTCCTATAAACTGCAGAATTACTACAATAATTAGGCAATGAAATCATGGCTTCAAATATGAATGGAATGAGAAGTTGCTCATGGTTCTACTATCAGACAAAGGACAAGGCCTATCTTTTCTCTTTTTTTGTTAGGTATTAGAATGCAATAATATTTTATGTTTTAAAGAAAGTATAAAAAAAGTTACTCTTCACTTTGAGAAGTCAAAGCTTACCACAACCGAATGAAGAACTTGGTTCCATATTACCATTAGGGTTGCATTATTTGCTATTCCTCAATATATAAAAAAAATGACTGAACATCCTCTGTGAGAATCACTGTAGAGCTACTGCTGTAAGGCAACTGTGTCCAGACAGAAATTCAAGAGCTAAACTACTGTCAACTAATGAAACCCAATTCAAATTTCATTTGGAATGCTTTGAGTATCTCTATTCAAACTCAAAAGGAAATGTATCGATTTTGCAGCAGTCCTTACGAAAAAACCCCAAACAACAAGACCCAAACAATTTGCAAATTATTTTTCTTTTTTACCTGTTGCTGATATATTTAAAGTGTAAATAATATTCTAGCAAAAGGGAAAATTAAATAAACAATAGCAAACAAACACAAGACTATTTCCCAACATTTTCTAAGCCAAACTCTTTGGAGCATTCCCTTTTCTAAGGAATGCACAGTGGTCATAGCCATAATGACAACTTCTTCAAATTTTGTCCTAAAATACACCTCAGTTTCAAAGCTCCCCAGAAAAGAGATCCCAAACATTCATTCCATTGATCTTTTTGTTTTGTGCAACATTACTGGGGGGTGGGGGGGTGGCGGGGCAGGCGGGAAGTCCATGAACAAGCACAACTGACTCACTGAGGTTGTCCACCCAATGAGAAGGGAAAAAGATTGAGGAGACGCAGCCAGATATATTATACTCAAAACGGAAGTAAAGACTATTTTCTATTACAGTCCACCTGTTTTTTATTTCTTTTTAAAGTATTGATAACATTCAGAGTTTTCTTCATTTAGTGTATTTTTTTACATGCCTGGGTCCCTAACTGCAAAGTGAGATACATACATATTTTTTAATATGTCTAGGTAAGCTTTGTAAGTTTTTTGGTTGGTTGGTTGTTTTTTATTTTAAATGCAACATGATAGAATTATGGCCATTTGATAATGTGTCCAGGCGCAGACCCAGGTGAAAACAGGACTGAATTTTACTTTTGACTTTGTTTATTTGCACTCACTCAGAAATACTGAGAATCCTAAATTGCTCCTACCCAGACAGCTTTTCAGTCGTTTAAGGGGATCTACAATTTCCTGAAACAGCCTTTCTAAGTGTCTGCGCATATAATAGTTGAGAAATGTGTGATCGAGTCAACACTGCATTAACACAGACAGACATGGGAGCAGAATTAAGCTTACCATTTAGTTTTACAACATCCAGAGTTGTGAGTGCTTAGCCACATGACCTCATCATTTCGCTAACAGTTTTTGCAAATAGTTCTATTATACTTATTTGTAACTAGATACTCTTTCCATACCTATATAAAACTGGCAAAGACTTTAAACCCTCTTATTGCCATCCAATTCTATAAAAATGAAGTTTTTACAGGTGGCAAGTATGACTACACTCCCCCAGAAAGTATCCTCAGCACAAATAAGAATGAATTTGGAAACCTGGCAGCTATTTCCCCCTCTCTTCCATTCATTAAAGTTAGCAAACCTTTTCTCTGTAAATAGGTTATCACAGCAGGTATTTTTATTACCTGCCTATATATAAGTAAAAATTATTTAGGCAACATTCTATTAGAAATTGCTACAATTGCAAAAATATCCAAACAGGTAAGTACAATCATAGCAAATACTTCATTTTAATCATTCCAATACTTCATGAGGAAAGAGAAAAATCCACTTCACTGAAAAAAAACAAAGCAAAAGCATGTGTGTATATTTTTAAAGATCACTGCAGCCTAGTTAAGCTTCCCTCTAAGAACAATTTTTCTTGATTATTTAATCAAGAGCTGACTTTTGAAGCCCTTTAAATGAAGCCCTATTTAGAAAAGCTCCACATAAATAATATTATCTTACTCTGCTCATCGGCTTTCCATGCGTGTGTGCTCACAACAGGGACCACCTAAGCATAAATGGCTTAGACTACTGATACACCTCAGAGGGTGAAACTATACATCAACAGAATTAACACAGCCCACATTAAGAACCACTTGTATTAATTAATGACTGTTCCAGGAAGAGCACAGTTAGGCTTTTAGACCTGAAGCACAAAAAGCAGAGCTTTGTTTCCCTCCAAAACATTGTATGAAACTTGTACCAACATGGTAACCACAGACAAAGCATGCCTTTAAGGGCTGTATCACGGACTTTACACAGGATCTCAGAATGCTGTCTGGAAACTGAAAAAAGATTGTCAAACACCAAACTTCATTTTCAAGGCTGCAATTCCACTTTGGAACAAAATCTCACCCCTTCCCAAGGAACAACTCCATGCTGTCCTTACACTCAAAGCCAGCTAAGCAGCCCCTCTCCGGCTGTTTCTCACTGATCCTTCTCCCGTGTCCCACTCCATAACCAAGTCTTTGGGACCAGTGCAGTTCTAGTGCTACTGGAGCTAGGTTCGCTGTCAAACCACAGAGATGCCCTCTTCTGGGAAAAATGCAATCCATAGCGCCAGGCATAAGGATATTCCTGAGTTTTCAGCACAAACCTGAATTCCAAGAAAATATAGATACTTCTACATGCTAATTAATATTCTGAACTTGCAAAGAAAATACAGTCATCTTAGAGAGCATCTACATGGAGCTCAATGCAATAATGAACAACTCCAGTCTTCCAAACCCACTTTCCACCACAGGGCCATTTAATGCTAAAAAAATTCACCTCAGAAGAACACATAAAGGTCAGCATATTTGCTACTAATTCAATAGACAGCCGGTGATACTGTTTTGTGGCTAGAATACTGGCTAAACTCTGTAGCATGGTGGCATTTCTGGTTCTGCAACTGATTTTGTGTGTGACCTTCAGTAAATTAGTCAATACCTTTGCAAAATTTTGAAATCCTTGCCTCAAACAAAAATTCTTAACCTTCTGCTCTCACCAGTAAATCGATGCAATGAAAATAATGCAACTCCCACCCTTGGACAGTCGTTTTCACACTTGCAGGGCAGAATACACAATTACTTTTTGATAACACAATTGTCAATCTAATGAGGAAGATCAGAATCTGTCCTAGATGTTAATGCACCAAGATCTAGTAAAATCATTCCTTCTGAAGTTTTCTGATGGTAGAGAAGTTGTCCTTAAATAGTAAAAAGCCATAAGCATGTATAGCCTCATGAATTCTAAGTATTAATAAGTAGTTCCGTTTCCAAGGTCAATACTCTTTTTATCTCAGGATGACTCACAAAAGTGTAATCAACCAAGAATATCTCAATTTACATCCCACTTTCATTTGTGTAGCAGTGACAAGCTGTTCCATTATCTGTGGCTTATAGTGCTTCCAAATTCTGTCATACGTGCAGTAAAAGCAAGACTGACAGGTATGTTCTGCCTACAGAATATACATCTTACGGGGAGGACAGAAATTCCATTACAGGTATTAAAACTAGAATGAAACTTAGGTGTGCTTACAAATCCTGATACTTTCCTTAAAAAAAGAAGTTACTTACTATTAGTCCTAGATCATATTATGTTATCTGGTCAAACAATATTTTAACTCTTTCAGAGGCTTCTGTGTTAGAAACAGAACTATTAAATTTCTACAGTGAAAAGGAACATTTTTACCACATTCCTTTCTTGGACTTGGAGTGGAAGAAAAATACATGCTAAAGCAGTATGACAGTATACAATTTTATACATTAAAAAAATGCATCTTTTCCTGTGTTTTTTCCTCCTTTTGGTTATTCAATTTTAGGATGCAAAGGTAGGAGTTTCTAAGACATCCTCAGAACAATGCCTAGTATCTCAAACTATTGAGAAAGAGAAACCTGTCTTTTATACATGCAAGGAAGATGCACAGTTTGGATCACAGTATTCTCCAACAGAGGACATCAAGGTGCAGTTTCTAAGAAAAAGATTGAAAGAGATATTGCACAAAACAACATATATTTAACCTAAACTTTTGCAAAAAACCCTCAAAATTATGCAACACTAAACATCTCACTACAGGCTTAAAAAAAGCAACTTGTAAGAGCAAATCAGTAAGAAACAAAAGAATCACCCAAAATTTTTAAAAATTCAATTGCTTGAAGAATGGTGCCAGAACTCCCCAAATACAGCTAAAGGCATGATCTTTTCAGCATAATGCTACAGCAATTGGAATACAGAATAAGAATTATCCACTTGCTAATTTAATCTAATCTAACAAGTATTCTTTTAAATTGTTCTCTTAATGTAACAAGACATGTGAGGTGCATTTCAGTATGCAGCTGTCTATAAAAAAAAAAAGATTTCTGTAAGAATATATATCCATGCAGACCTTTCATTGACACACCACCAACAGAACTCATTCTTCACCCCGTCAGGAATGTTGACCTTCACTGTCAGGATCTTCAGATTTTCCCCTCGGTTAATGGCCAGAATCTGAGTGCAAACATAAATGGCAGAGACAGATGACACACAAAATATCCAAAAGATAAACTTAACATTTGTGTACGCGCTTGCTTGACATTCTGTGGCAAGTCATGGTGGTGGTACAGTAAATCAGTTCACAAAGTACTAGAATGTACAGATAACATCCACGATTTAAACACAGATTAAATCATGCCGTGGCATAACAAATCATACATTTTTCCTGTAGTCTGCAATCTCAAGATCCAGTTTATCTTAAACACACTTATAATACAAGTCGGCATGAATTTAGTTGGTGGAATAATCTTGTTTAATAACCCAAATTAAAACTCAAAAAATGAATTGAAAAGTTATTCCAATTAGAACTAGAGATCAGAAAGGGAAAAAGTTAGTCCTAAGCTTCAGGCTTCATTTTGCTTCCCAAGATCAATCCAAATTTAAAATTAATTATGAATCAGAACTTGTGACACAAAGGTAATCAGCCTAATTTGAAAGAGGATGAATTTTTGAGTTATTCACACCTAGTTCATAAATAGCTGAAAATATTGTAGATACACTCTTTACGTTAATATTAACACTCCAGCCTTAAAATGTATGCACATATTTCTGGCAGAGTCTTGTGTATACAACTGCATATTCATGATCTAAAGCTAAATCTGTTTGCACACGTGCTATCTGCACACAGAGTTCTATTTTAAATGGACATCTGTGGTTCTACATTTAAAATCAGAATCACAATACGAGTGGTGGATCCTGGAGGATACTGGTGGGTATCTGCTAGTCTAACCTCTCTATGAAGATGATGAGTGTTCACCTGAAGCAATCCTTACAGTATTTATTAAGAAAACTCACCGGTCAAGAGATTTTAGAAACAGAATAACAGTTAGAAGCAGCTATAAATAAAACCCACATGTTTTTAGATTTCATTTTCCCTTCCAAAATACTTCAACGTGCAAAAAAAAAAATCTGCTAGAAGTTGACATTCCTGTATGACTACACATGTTGCTGTATGTAGCAGGCCCTGAGCACTGTCACAACAGAGCATTCTGTGTCAATCATGAACTTTAATTCAATCACTAGCTAACTCAGACATGTCACATATGTTAAATACAATGGTTTAAAATGACTCCAGGACATAGTACCAATTTATATTCCTCAGCCTTGGTGCTCCTGTGACATACCAGGCCTGACATATCATTGAACAACAAAGCTAATAATAAAGATTGCATGTGAAATATTATAGCATCTGGTACCTTGACTGCCAAAGCAAATGTTTTCATGTAGAGATTAGAAAGACACATTTTAACAAATCAAATGCTTTCATGTTTATTCTGATTTTATTTAAAAAAAAGAGAAAGTTAAATGTCAAGCTAAAATGAAATCAAAGTGATGCTCACGCCAGAGAATGCATCTGATAGAATTATAATGTCATCATTCAGCATGCTGTTAGTGGGGTCAATATTTGCATCACATTTTGTTTCCTGGCACTCCGTCCACAGAATGTGTCAGTCACCTGAACTTAAACCAGCTGTATTGCAGTCACTAATATTTTTTACATTTTTATTCTTAAACAATCTGCCTATCCTGTTCTAAGTGACATGCGTTCAGAGAAGAATTATCATCCAGGAAATGCTCAATTAAGAAAGTAATTACTGAATTTCTCCCCCTAAGATAATAAAGGTGGGTTTGTTTTGGTTTTTGGGTTTTGTTTGTTTGTTTTTTAAGTAACAGGTTCAAATACAGCTATTCTAGACACAAAGTAAACCTTCAGTTCTGGAGAAAGACTATTTTTATGCAAGACTGGAACAGATCCAGGGGAAGGGTTAATAAAAACAACATACATTTTTAAGGGAAAGCAAGAACAATAATTTGATCTAGTCACAAGATTTATCAAACCTTATTCTGTTTATCAGAAAAATACAACATCCTTCACACTGCACAGCTCTCCTCTATGTTCCAGATTTACTTAGACTCACTGAATAAGTTTTGTATATTTTGCCAAGGACTTTAACTTCCAATTCCTTTTTAAGTATATGCGATTGAAAATAGAGCACTTGCCTCAAACATTACACTTTATTCATGAATTCTCTTCCTCCCACCAATTCAGTTATCTCCAAATAGAGGAAAGCAACCCCAAGGCGTACACAAACACTGAACTGTTTACAATCAAAAATTCAAATAAACTCTTGAAAGGTTTTTTCCGTAGTTATGGCAGTGTTGGTATAGCTACCCAACTACATCCAAGAGTCCAGTCAGGTTCTCCTTGCTGCCAAAGGAAGGAACTGTGGCTGAACCTCCCAACAGCAAAGTGTTCCAGCTGGAAACACCCACAGGTATCTGATCATGTCAAAATCTGGAGTCGGGTTTTTTAAACAATTAAGTTTTTTTCTCATTTCAGGTTTAGTATTTTAACTTTTTCAGTCAAACCCAACTCCATGCCAGTCCTGATTATTTCATGGCATCTCTCAACACACAAAATGACAATGGCACGGAAAGTAATCCAGAACTATAGCATGTGCAACAACAGCTGCAGAACCACAGAACCAAGCTGCAGCTTACTGCACACCGCTTTTCCTCACTGTAATAAACGCTGCAAGGCACGCTCATGGCTACAAATGCTTTGGTCATAAAGACAGGTTATTCTCTTACAGGTAACATGCTAGTCCACCGCCCATCCCCTTTACTTGCATGTAAGCTAGAGCAGAGTTATGGTTGTACACAGACCTTTAAGATTACTAGCACTTCCATACTCAGGCGATGACCAGTTTCAGTGCAGTATTTTATGGAATCCTTTATTTGCAACTCTGCAAAGAGGTGATTTAAAGCTGACTTCTACTTTTGCTTCTAGGTAAACGCATTGAGAACACTTGTCTGTGCGCAGTCATGAAAGGACTAGAGAAGGTCTTCAAAATAGCGAATTTTGCAAGTATTCTTCAAACACAGCTATTTAACCTGCAGTCCTGGTGGATTAGTAAATTTCAGGCTTCCCTATAACTTTTTCAGGTATAAGCTTCTTTTAAAAATCCTGAACCAAGCCAGAGAATGTCTTCACTTGAAGACGTCTACGCCTCTCTCAAAGCACATTCAAGATCACATTTTAACGAGCTTTTTGAATGCAGAAAAGACGTATTTCTTCAAAGTCTTAGGTGAAGGAGAAACTAAAGACTTCTAGGTATTAAAAGGGATGGTTATAACCCAAGAAAATAAAGTTTTTAAAAAATGGTAGTTTGCATCAGCAGGGTAGTAAGGTCGGGTAATAAAGAAATTTAAGGTTATGAGAAAGACTTTCAAAAGTACAATACTAGGGTTCAAGCTTAAGGAAGAAATGGCAGATAAAGAAAACACTTTTTCTTTCCTTATTGCATCATCAAAAGACAAAAGGGAGACAAAGAAAGGAACTGGAAAACCAACAAAGAACCAAAAAACAGAAATGAGAAGTTATAGTATTTTTACAAAACAGGGAACTCTGAAAGCTGCACATGTCAGAGATGATCATAAAACACATTTTTTCCTTGACTAGTACAAGTGAGTCCTGATATACTTGGGCCCTGAAACCTCAGTGAAGCACAAACAACTCTGACTTTTAAGATTCGTAACAGAGAAATATTCAATGTGTTAGAACAGTCAATAGCAGTAATATACAGATGAAAGATAACATATAAGAGTGCAAAAACATCCCATGACTACAGGACTACCAGCTGCAAGAACAGTGGTTATTACTTCACTGGAGAGCTGGAATGGGAAAAAAAAGAGGCATTAAGTTTAGAGACAGGCACAAGGAGAAATAAAGCAGACCGAGTTAATCTTAGTATCAAACAGACAAACTAAGGACACATCCTGGATAAAAAACAGTGCAGCCACAGGGTCAGAGTGCTGACCAGGTTTAGGAAATCTGGTTCCTAGCCCTGGCTCTAAACAACAGTTTTCCTTATGTAAAACAGAAAAAAAAAAGGATGCCTCAGACAAGAAGTAAATCATACCATCATGCCAGGAAACACTTGTACACCCAATAAACGTTGCGTATCTCAGTATTCACCACTCTCAGTGCAGGAAAACAGTCTTTGACAGCCAAAGTATCCATTCAACAGTACAGCACCCAAACAAAACACCCATACAGCACAACACTTAATCCCCTGATCAATCTACAAATCTTTGTGATATGTCACCACAGTAGTCTTAGCTTGCTCAATTGACTTTTCCAGACTCTCTAGAAGCAAGTTTTCACCATATAATTACTGATATAAATACAGTAGATGTTCATACTTATTACAAAGAGAACAACTACAGGTACCTCTTCAAACATCTACAGAAGGCCTGTCTACTAAAACCACTTGTAGTAATTTAGTCTTTAACCTAACACCATCCATATTGGGGGGGGGGGGTTTAAAATTAGCCCATACATGTTGTGAAATATTTTTTGTAGTAAATTCATTTCAAGACATGCAAGAAAATCCTTTATTAATTCAAAACATCACCACATTGTTTTAAAATAGCGATCAGAGAGAAAATGAGAGCATGTCATAGATATAAATGGAAAAGTACTCTGCTGTAGAATAAGGCAGCCTTCTAAAGGAAAAGGACATTTCTAGTTGGAAGCAGCTAAAAGGGTCTTTTTTGTGTGTTTGTTTATTTTGGTTTGGGGTTTTTTGTTTGTTTGGGCGTTTTGTTTGTTTGTTTGTTTTAAAAGCTAGGTAATTGTGACCAAAACAAGAGACAATTCACTTGGTGATTAGTAATGAGTCAGGGCAAAGGTCTTGACAGTTACATTGAGCGCCTCACACTTCAGCCTTTGAACTTCAGTAACAGGGGCAGCCTAGCTATCAAGTCATCAGCTTCTCATCAGCTAGCAAGTTTGCTTTGTTCCTCATTTCTTTGTCTAGCCATATAGGTCTAGGCTTGGGGCTTAGGATAACCACAGATGCTTCACAGAAGGGAATACTGATGACTTGCAAAACAAACCCGTTTTTGGAGTAGTGCGTGGGATGTTCCCCTGAGGCTTTCTATTTTGATTGTTCAACTTTCACATTGAAGTTGCTGCTGACAAGAGCTGCTTTTGTAGGTCACTTTCAATTTCAATTTTCTGGATCCTTCCCTGATATTTCTCACCAGTTTCACCTGACAGATTTAGTGTCAAATGGCTCAGAGCACTCTGACTCAGTGCTGCAGCAAACATCCAAAAGAAACAAAGAATAAGTTTATCCAAGTTTGCTTCACGTACTTACACTTCAATCAAGCAGATTTCTCTACTACGCAATGCCCCAGTCTCACCTCTACAGACCATAAATTATCACTTAGCCTTTATTCCCCTCCTGATAACACTTGCTATGCACTTGTCACTGGGCAAAGGGAGGGAGGGCATGACACACGCTGAAAATAGGTCACGCCAGTATTGAAATCTGATTATAAATATATGTTTAATGAGAATTAATTAGACAATGGACATACTGAATAAGCAGTTCTCTGCTCAGTTTCTTAAGACAGAGATTAACAGCTTAGTCCTGCATTTCAAGAATTTGAAAGTCTCTATTACGTTTGATAACTGAAAAGCAAAATCAAGTATATTTAGAATCAGCTTTAAGCAACAAAATTAAGAAGCACAGCCACCTTTGTTATAGTTAAGATTCTAAGAAAAAATACAAATTTGTAGGTGTACCTGATGATGCTGAATGTTCTTTATATTACAAGAAAACTCATGGTACAGTTGGAATTTATCAATATCTTTTTCATTTCCACTTTTGGACGACACTTTTGCCAAGGCTGACTGGATACAAATGTACCTTTGCTGACATCTGAGTAAAAGAAACCAAAGTTAATACGGTATTTTAGCATGAGGCTTGTAACAAGTCATTAGTGCTTGTATTAAATAAAAATGAATTTTGGAGTCTGCTCAATTACAAGTTATGTTAACTCCAATTACCTGCAGAACTGTATTACATATCTTAATGCCGAGACTGACATAACACATACTGACTGGAACATTCCAAGAGAAGAAATTCAAGCAGATGTCAGAAAAAGCTGAAGACAGCCCTTCTCCTGAACGGAATGGATACTCAAAAGCCACCATCTGCAGTTCAGTTTGGTCAGTTATTGGTTCAACTACACACAACAAATTTTGGGAAGTTGCAAAAAAATTATAGCAGTTATCTATTTTATAGAAATGCAACATCTCTCTTGAATATATCCAGCCTCAGAATTAATTTCTTGCTTTGAGCACTTGACACCCATAAAACTGTTCATTATTTTTAGGAGTAACAGGGATCCCAAACAGATAGCTTCCTGAATGCTCCTCACAATTATTATACATACAACACACTTTGGATCAACAGGATATATCTGTAGAGCACTTTGTATCCAATTAAGGAGCTTCTAGTGGTCAAAAGAATGAAAGTGATAGTCTGGTAATGACAGCACATCCCTTACAAAACAACCCTGTCATTGAAATTATCACTATCATAGCCTTGTGATGAAGTTGGCCATTACTCACGATAAACAGCAAACAAGAATCAACTAAACAGAACTGAGCAGATTCAAACCAGCACTGCACGCTCTTAAGAAGGTATCTGTTCTTTGATAACCCTGTTCTGTCCCACATGGTACACAGCAGAGGTAAAAAAAAAAACAAACCAAAAAACAAGCAACTATTACTCTGTCACATCAACCCCCCGGGCATGACAAATAACCTTGAAGTCATTATATAATGTAAGAAAACTTAAACTCAGCTAACAGTCAAAGGATCAGTAACTCCTGCCTTAAAAACAGTCACATCCGCTTGCCTGATTCTCTTCCAGTGCCAAAATCAACCATCACTGCGTGCTAATTACACTGACTGGTGTCAAGTAGTACATATTGGATAATAAATAAATAGTACATATTGGAGCAGATACACCTCTGGAAAGTCATAGCTTGAAGGAAGTGCAAGGAGAGAAAACTTTCCCTTACAAATCACTAACTGCAAGGGAGATATGCTCTATATGGAACAGCCTTTGGGAGTCACAGTGTCATGCCATGCTCACAGGCAATTTCTCCTCCACTGATAGCCAGACGGGCGGAAAGGCTAAAGAATGTCTCCAGCAGAAGTGAAGGAATGGACCTAATGCAATCTCACAGTAACACTGTTTTCACATCATTAAAAAAAATGAATTGCATATCTGCGCACTAGGAGACTGAATCTTATCATGTAACCAGGAAAATTTAGGAAATTTAAAAAAAAAAATCAAACTTACAATTTCCTGATAAAATCCAGTGTATCTTTATCTTTAGCGAAGATGTCAGCTAAAATATGCTGTACTCCAGCCTCTACTTCCTGGATAGTTGAAAGTCCTTAGAAGACAAAACCGTTAATAATTATAAAAAAAATTAATGTGAAAAATTACTTTACACAACTGCACAAGCACTAATAAAATATATACAAGCTGAATGAAAATTGATGCAAGATATCCGACTGATTTGCACAGGTTTCAATGAAGAATCCTAGTTCATTAGAATTTTTTTAACTAAGCTTCCTTTCCAAAACATGTCAAAATGTTTAATGAGCCTGAAGTGACCAATGCAGTATCATAAATCACAATCACATTAATAGGAGAAAAACAGTAATTTTGTGACTTCAATGCTAACAGACCTTGACATTTACGATGCAAATTTATTATTTACAACAGTAAAATCGGATATTCAATAATTTTTGCGGTCGTAATAAAATGAGTAATCGCAGCACAAGTTTACACATTTTGCTACTGATTTTGCTAAAATCTATGCAGGCAAACCTGTCCTTTCTCTATGTAATAGTTTTATATTTCCACTGGTTTGTAGCAGGAGTTTGCACAGTGACACTTCTGAGGTCATTCATCCTCCCCCACAAAACACTGTTCAAACAGTGAAGTTATAAAATGTCTCCATAAACAAAGCATTCTAGAGAGCTGGTAACAGAATCATTCAGCTTTCCAACAGACAGAACCATCCCTCACTTCAAAAGACTGGAAGAAGTGGCACAGCATTCTCCTTAGCACAGCGGTTGAATTGGACCAGAACCAGAAGGTAATGAAATAAAAGTGGTATCTTGTATTTTAAAATCAATATATCTAACCCTGTTTCTAGCAAGAGTCAGTAACAGATGCTTCAGAGCAAAAAGCAAGAATCCTAGAGTTGGCAGATGCAACTGTCTCCTTCAATACACATTTTTTACTATGCTGTCTGATGGGCTGCCAATATCTTGAAACAGCTTTATTAACGGCATTTTTAAAAAACTGCATATCTCTAATAACCAATTTTTTATTGACTCCAGAACCCTGCTTCTGATTGGGCTACAGAGTTACACACTATAAAAAATTAGTCTTGCCCTTTTTTAAAAAGGGGAAGGCTAAACTTACCTGCCAGAAAGAAAAATAGAAGTGTGAGAATAAAAATGCGTTATTAAATGCCTGAACTGATCAGAAGTTGTGGAATTTGGCTCTTCACATCTATGAGTTAGTGTTTCGTACGGTAAAAGTAATGTAACATCAGAATACAAAGCTAAGGGAATTATAAAACATGCATTATATTGAATATTTATTACAATGAGACACTCAAGTACCAGAAGTGTACATGGCGACATTATTTCAATTCTAGCAGAGAATTTGAATGAGACAGAAGAGACCTTTAATCAGAATTAAAGAAATAATCAAAAAGTTCCCATTCAACAAGCACCACTCACATGGGCATTAACTGTGCCCATGGTAAAAACAGCACATGCACATGCTTGTTTAATTAGAGAAATATTGGACCATGCATACAACAAAAAGGAAGAACAAAGTTTTCTGGTGAGCCTACTTCCATAACTTTCAAATATCTGGCTTTGAAACATGAACTGTTGTTTTTATTTCATTTTATTTTTAGTATAAGTTTAAAAACACTGAGAATTTAAAATAACTGAATATTAAGATTTGATGAAAACTTTTCTGCACAGCAAATGGCTCATCCCTTTAACTGAAATTCACTCTGATCTCAAGCAGTATATAGGTTGTCAACCTGGCTCCCAAGTTGACAAAAGTGACCCAGTTCATACATGTATGTAGTTTCTGATACACCTTTCAAATGGTAACCATTATATAAACGTAAGCAACACCATTTTTAGCACAAAATTGAAAATAGGTGTACCGATTCCAAAAATGGAAGTGTTTATGCTGCAACAAATAGCATTCCCTTCTGAATGCACCCTAAATAATTTATTTGACTTTCACTGTGAAGGTTTTCATTTGGCTCTTTAGACTCTGCCAGAATAGTCAGATATGTGGTTGCAATATACTGCTGCATGAAATAATGACGTATGCTAAAATGCAGTAATTAAAAAAAATCAGAATATTTGGTAACTGATTTTCAATGCAAAGTTAGGATCACTTTATAAACAATATTTAAATAAAATAAAAGAACAACAGAAGTGGGAAGAGTAAGAGTCAGCCTCACCAGTAGGTTCAGCACTTTTACGTTAAAATTAAAAAAAAAAAAAAAAAAATGTCGGGGCAGGGAAGAAAAGCACTTCCCTATTTTAACACCATACAGAAGGTTGCAGCAATCTTTATATTTTATTGTCAGAGATTGCCCCCTACAGATTCACCCATAACTGCATTCACAAAGAAACACAATTCTGCAGTCTATGTGTGACAATCATATCGTTAAAGTTTTACTGAAATTTTAGAGGTTACATCTTCTCCAACCCCCTAGTGTCATTCAACAGCAAAAACTCTCTCCCGCTCACTCCCAGTCACCAAGGCCAGTTTGTATTAAGATATGCTTTGATGGGTGACATTTACTTCAGTAAAAAGTATGAGCATAAGCCCATTATACAATCAGCATTAATCTTCAGTAAACAATTCAAGTAAGAGTAGAACCATGGAGCGGTCTCAGGTGTGCGGTGCAGTTCCCTCTCTCTTACCAGCAAATACAGATGTCGACTATAACATCTCCAGACTTTTGTCTCCTGATATACCAGAATTTCTACTATTTACAGCATAAAAAGACAGGAAAGGTTTGGGAACCATGGCATTAAATTTAAAATCCACCACGTTGCTAAAAGAACTGTGGAATTTAAAATAGTTGCATAATGCAACATCAGAACAATTAAAATAATTTCCCTTTTAAAACATTTTCAGGCATTTAAGACATTACTGCTCATAGAAGCAGGGGGCTTACCTTTGGTATTAGGTCTAATGTAAGAAAAGAGATTGAGTTCCATTGGATTCTGCAGAAGGGAGAGCGCAGCAGGTTCTAATCCCAGCTGCTTGGCCCTCTGGGCTTTGGTGCCTTTACTCCCAGTTTTATAAGGTGCAGACTTCAAAACAAACAAAAAAACCAGTTATTAAAAGGCAAGGAAATATTTCAGTCATGCTATGTACTTTGCATTATGCACTATTTAGTTAACGAGATTACATTTAAACTAAGGATGATCTGAAAAAGACTAGTGTACTGACCACATGGTCTAATTCTTCCAAAGTTCTGCAATTTAATAATGCTGTTAAAAGGCATCCAGATAACTTCCCTTCTTTCTTCAACTTCTGTATCATTGTATGCGTCTTCTTCGCAACAGTACTAAAATGCAAAAGATTAACAGTCACATTTCATGGCGGATTAAAAAGGCTCTTGATTGTGACCTTGTTTATTACACTGCTTTCTCAAACCCCTGAGGATTGTATCTCATGCTAGTCCTCAACAAAACAAGCATGACAATCCAAGAGAGTTTCTAACTATTACTCTCTTTCTCCAATTAGTTCAAAACTGCATCAAAATATCTCATGGTAGCTTTAAGAAAAATCATCAAACAATACTGATAGTCATTACTGCTATATACATTTTAGCAAGATTACTGGCCCAGAAGCCAAACAAAAAGGCCCTAAGTTAAATCCATGTTGATAGGCACTTACAGTTGTAATTCACATCAAGATAGTTCTGCAGTATCAAGTACAGGGTACTGGATTTTAAACTCAGACCTTCAATAAGATACCTGTGAGCAACCACAGGCAGCAAAGATATTTTGTTATGATTTAAATTATTTGTTCAGGCAAGAACTATCTCAGGCCACCTTCCCTCTTCGGAAAGAATCTCCTGCTAGGGGTTAGCCAGGGAGTACAAAGGGGAAGACACCATATTGACAGAACAGCTGGCGAGTCTGTTCCCTTGCCATCTCAAGAACATAAGCCACCCAAAAGCAAGGAGTAGTGAGAGCAGTCTCATCCACCCCTACAGTGGGCTTTGCTGATCATTTCTTTGCTGCAATGATCCGTGATGGCTTAGCCTGCCCTCCTGATGCAGTGCAACCTCAAGAAGTGCTCTTCACTAGAGGCTTCGCTGTTCCAAGTGGGGAGCCAAGGGGTTCTTAGTGATTCTTTTTCTAAGGGCACAGCTTGCATCTAATTGGGCTAGGTATCTGCAGGACCTGTAAGCTACTAAAAGTGCAGAAAGAGTAAGATCTTAACTTTTCTTTGGCAATTAATAATGCTAGATTTCTTGTTACTTAGAGTAAAAAACAGACAGGCATCAAGCATAATTACTTCAGTTTTAAACTTTCTTCTTTAGGAGTTCCTTTATAATTGCAGTGTATACAAAACACCAGAATGGGGACACAGAAGCAGCAGCCGGTTGTTACTTACCTCCCTGTATTAACTTACCGAAGCTCTTCCAATGCTTGCTGCACTTCTCGCAAGGCATCGGCCTCCAGATTATTGATGAGTTCTTTTCGATACCGAGCAATAAAAGGAATTGTGTTTTCTTCTTGAAAGAGGCGAATTAAGTTTGCACATACCCATGGTTCAACATTTGTTATTTCTGACAAGGCCTGTCACAATCAATTAAAAAAACCCAAAACCAAAAAAAACATTTAAGAAAGGTGATAGATTGCTTTAAACAGCCTCTCACTCAAAGTTCAAAACCACCCCCAGAATTTTATGCTGGCCAGCAGGGACTACTATCCCCCCTAAGACAGGATGCCAGGCTTCCCATGCATCCCGCCACCACACCCAGTACTTCAGAAAGACATGCAGCAACCAATATTTCCAGGAACTTGTAACTACAGAAAAAAAATGCAGGAAGGAGTGTCTTTTGGGAACAGAAAAAACCCAAACAATTAAAAAAAACAAAACAAACAACAACAGAAAGACAAACTACACATGGCAACTCAGAAAACTTGGAACTACTTTTTTTTTTTTTTTTAAAAACCAACACTGACATACCTCATGCTTAAACAAAACAAAACCCACAAACCCAAAGCTGATCCAAATCCCACTCCACCAATAATTGGAAACTGGCATGGTATTACTAAAGGTTTCAAGATGAACCAAGCCTCGCAAAGTTAAACATGATTTTGTACAAAGTGGGCTTTCTAAAGATAAAGTTATAGCGTATCAATACGGAATCGAGGACAAGCTATGTAAGTACCTTAGCTTAGTAACATTGTAACTATCACAGTTTGTTTGTACTTTGTTTGTACACAGTTATTTCCATAGACAGCTGATTTAAAAGCCTTTTGAAAGTTTTGTTCTGAAGCCTAAAAATGTAACAACTCCTGCGCAATCATATTCACTGCTTTTAGAGCGGCAATATATAAAGATCAAATTCTCCATCTGCATTTCCAAGAATATTTTAGAAGACTCAGGAACAAAATTTTACACCTTTCTTAAGCAGGCAGTACTAAGGATGATGAATAGTACCCAATGTACCCAATCCACTCCCGTCCTGTTCATATTAAAATCTTCCATAACCACACCCAGCCTCCCAGAACCAGAGCTATCCTACAACTGTCTTCATCTGTTCTTTCTGCTTCAAAGTTAACATCCTACAAAAACAAAGATGATTATCTCCCTTGATGTCACTGGTGTTCCAAGAATGCAATCTCCTCCTTGATGGTACTGTAAATTGATATACACTCTCAAATGAGTCTCAACAACAAAATAATCCACACTAAATCTTAAATTTTGAAACTATGCACACAGGCATCCCAAATCTTTTAGCATCCCTTCCTGCAGGAGTTTCAGTTGACTATATCCACAAAAAAACCCATGTGCTGAGACAGAAGAAATGTGCAAACTGTTACAGGCTAGCTTTAGACTGAGGACTGCCTAAGACACAGATATTTGAACAATGTTCCAAATTTGAACTTCTAACAGTTACCAACCAACATGTATATTTATACATGTATTATGACAATTTAAGCAGAGGTTAAATGACTACTTAACAGCACAACAGCTCTCTGACACTCCAAGTGATGCCAAGAGGACTCAAATTGTATGTTAGATTTTAAGTGCTAGTTATGTAGGAAATGGTTTCATTGATACCTCAGAAAAGGAAAAGATCTCTTACCTGTACAATATCCCAGTTCATTTCAAATTCTTCTTTTACTTTGTTGCCTCCTAGATTTTTTACTGGCTTTCCTTCAGGACATGTAGTTGACTTAATCTTTTTAAAAGGTGGTTCATCAAATGCAAAATCCTCCTCAGATTTCTCATGCTTCACTTGATTTCCCACTACAGGAAAACTTGTTGAGGGTTTTTCATCACTCTCCAAACTCTTTACGTTCTTGCCTTGGAATGAATCTATTTCCATTTTTTTCGGCACTTCTGGCTTTTGATTTAATGTTTTTGGTTTAATGCCTACATCTTCTTCCTTAGGTTTTAGGAGTTGCATTCTATTATCTTCTGCAGGAGCAATAGGCAAGGATACATCCTGCCAAAAAGGCATTGAAACCATATTAAGCATTGACTGTTACAAACTGGTTCAACGTTTCAGTTAAAACCTAGGAAGACTTGATAGACTCAATGACTTGACATCATTTTCCCAAGTGATGTCTCTATATGACATGGAAATGCCAAGCCAGAAATGAAGTAACCTGAAATATATCTTGCGTGGAAGAAAAGATACAAACGTACCCAGGAGAATTGTGATTTAAAAGATCAAATTATCTTGGAAAGACTTTAACTGGGCTCTCCTTCAGAGGACACCAACCTACAGTCCTTGCCTCCACTCATCTCAACAAAACAGGGAAGAGCAGGGCCGGGAAGCAGTCTTCTAATGAGGTGTTAGGTGCAGCATGCGAACTGGAACTGAGATTTGGTCTGCTAAGATATTGTTTAACCTTGGACAAGCCACACCTTCTTTCCTGAATTTCCCCAGAGATCTTCTTCAGAGTCCAGGAATGTATTTCTCAATATGCCACATATGTCAAAACATCCAGAAACGTTAGTATAAACCAGAAGGACTGGCTTCTGTCAGGACCTGACCTCTGATGTTAATCTTTGACAGAAGTAACTAACTTCTGATAGAAGTGCATATTATACTCATCATAATAAAACTGCGATCCTTACTGGGTCAAAGAGCCATGCAAGGAAACGTTAAGTACAGGCCTTCTTTTTGTTGTGGTAGCTGGTGAAAAGGTAGAAGACATCAAAGGTGCAACACAGAAACCAGAGATATCAGTGTTTAGTTTTCATTACAGAAAGAAGAACAGAGGTATTTATTTATTTTTGTTGTTGAAAGAGATCTCCAGGGAAAACCATGTCCTGTTATCATTGGCCAAAATTTTAAAGGAGGACCCTTAGAAGTGGGACACTTAAATACGTAAGAAAGCCACGTTTAACAAACATACTGAATATTCACAGTAACAGTGGAATCAGATGAGCTGATCAGACTCGGGCAACCAAGGGAACCAGAGTTGGAAAAATTCTGCTCATGTTACTTGCCAACCACAGTAATTAAATGTCTCTTGCTTACAGATACTCACCATTTCCTCTTTTATTGCTACCTTCCTGACCTTTTTCCTGGCCACAGCTGACCGTGAAGCAGCAACTTTTTTAGTTTTTGCCTCATTTTTCTTTGGCAACCGAGGTCTCTTGGCAATTTTGCTTTTTGGCTCCCACTCCTCCTCTTCCTCCTCTGATTCAGAACTCCTGAAAAACAAATGAGTGAACAATATTGCTTACGAGAAGAATTAAAAAAAAATACATAAGCAAGCCAGTCTGAGTGTTTTCTGACACGAAAGGAAACGAACAGGAAAAATAAACAGAAAGGTAGGCAGACTCAACAAACACAGGCCTTTGATGCTGTTGCAGAGCTAATGTCTGGAACAATTTACCAAGCTTTCCTGAAGGTGGTCACTGGGATGTGTACACACCTGATTCTGTTTGGACAACTGGCAATTCAGTTTCATCCTATCTTCACTGTGAGCATGAAGCAGCATAGGTAATTTGTGGTTTATGATTGAAGTTTTGTGCATTAAAGCTTTTTAATCAACCTCTCAGAAATGGAGTGTTCTTATGCAATTGCTCATGCTTAGCATAAATCTTTAAAAAAAATCCTAAGCAAAAAAGTAATCTTACGAATTAAGAAATAAAGGTAGTTCATCATCTTCTGACGTAAGGGCTTTGGCTTCAGATTTCACCCTCCTTGGTAGAGATGACATCTGAAACAGAGGCAAGAAGAGAGAAATAGAACATTTGGTTGAAGCTCTATTCTCTTATTCAGCCCTTTAACTCACTGCCAAGTGTGCCCTCATAGTGTCTTCACCAATCACAAAAGTTTCATCTAAAGCAAGTTTGGATTTCTTAGTATCCAAAAATTTAGGCTACAGCAGCACGCATTCAACAATCTTTTCAACTGAGCAAACAGACAAACCAGCACTACAGCCTCTCAAATAATTTTTCTCTTCAAATGGAGGTAATTATTTGGCTTGCATGTAAAGCTATCCTAGCAAAAAGAGTACCGGTTCTCAGACATTATTGGGTGTCACTCGTATACTGTGCCAGTCTTTCCTCCATCAATCTAAGAGGCACAGAAAATAAAATTAAGATCGAGTAAAGTGAGCTTGCATATTGTTTTGATGTGAACAGGAATACAAGAAGATTATCCATTTTGATCCAGAATTTCACCTTTAAAGGCTATCCGTTGCTTGTATGCATAATAAAAACAATGACTTTGAAAGAGCTGCTCATTAGCATATAGAAAGTGCATTAAACAATTATCAAAGGTAAAAAGGGAAGGCACAGACTTTCTCCTGACCTGAGATTCACACCTACAATAGCTGCATTTCAGTTAATCAGTTATAGAATTTTTGGCAATGGTTGGGCCCATGAATTTCAATAATCACATTTGGCAGTTTTAGTTAGAGAATTTTAGGTACCCTCAAAATTTTACCTGCCAGAAAATTAAAATTGAAAAAAACATAAAGCATTTCTATAACTATAAAATTCATAAACATATTTTACTTGTATCTGGTACAATATCATCATTCTTCACATTCTATTCTCCAGCTCTCGTAACCAAAAGATTTTGCACCTTGACCTTTGATCCAGCCTTACCACTGCAATGCGAGCCCTAAAGTCCCATGTTTGCACATACAAACTGGATAAGCATTTTTGCAAAGTGCCATTTAACTCAAGGGCGAAATGCTCTTTAATCCAACTTCGTTCTGGCCTCTGTTCAAGCACTAGAAGCATAACTATTGTTATAAATGGCTTTCAACAAGTTTGCCTTATTGCAAAGTACCAGCATTTAAGTAACCGTTTTCAGCACCGCAGCAGAAGGAGGACTGTTGAGGCCCACATCAAATAGCACTAGCTATTACCTTGCTTGCAAAACGTCTTTGTGTAGCAATCATCATGGTCAACAGCAGGTCAGCATTTCTGTGCTGTTCCATTGACTGGTTAGAATACACATCTACCACAGGAAAACAGAAATCTCCACAGAACACAAAAAATACTACTCACCTTATTAGCTTCCCAGGTGACTTTTCACTGCCAGTTCTGAGTCACCTGCAACTTCACCCAGCCACTCTGCTTCTCCGTTTTCCTTTGCTCTTTATAACTGAACGGTCACTATCATAGTATTGAATTATTTATTTATTTATTCCCATTACCCCAGAGGCGTGAAAATAATGTTTCCATTTTATATTGTACTTTAATCTGTGAATGGGAGAAACAAAGAACATTATTCATGTTTGCAACACCAAGATTTCCAGAATTAGGGAACACCTGAGCCAGATGGATCCCTGATCCATTTTTTGCAGGCACTGGGACACTTTTCACATGGTTAGGTCTCGCAGTTCTCTCTGTTTTCAAACTAGATGTTTAGCTTACAATATAATTATCAGTTATGCTTCTTCAGCTAATCCAACTAAGTGGGTATTTTTTAGTATTCCAGGCAACTTTGGAAGCCACTGGTCAGTTTTTAAATGCTCTAACCAGCTTCTTCAGAGTTACCCATTGAATGATCGCAAGGAAGAAGGAAAAAGCCAACACGCGTGTTCTCTCACCTGAGGTCAGCATTCCCCCTATGTAACACCGCTCTCTAAACTTCCCTGCCAGTTTTGGACACTCAGCATATCACCATGATAGTTTGGGGGCTTACCCAAAAGCCCAGGTGAAAGGAAAGCCTCATCCAGAAGGTCTTTTTTCTGCTAATATTTCCCTCTCACCTCAAGTGGCCAACGGCAGGGTCTCAAAATATCTCAATATCTGTATTGTTACATTAATTAAGATTATGGCAAGAGTAAAGCTTACTCTATAAGTTAACTGTACGTCCTGCCATCCAACACTGGTGACTGATTTAACTCTTCGTATCAGCTTAAGAATAGGAGATGAGCTCCTTGGTTTATTAACCCAGGCATTTTCCACATTCTTCATGAATAAATTAGTATTTGCTCCTACATCCTTAAGTCTGAGAATTACCATATAGCAAATATAAAAATGGCATGGGAAAGCATGAAATAGAACAGAAAGTGAGAGGTAATAAGGCTAAGTCTTTATGGGGCAGTTCAATGTTTGGGGTTTTTTTCTTTTGATTTCTTGGATTTTCCACTTGAAAAAATAATTAGATCATCTTTTAAGTGTTTGTGGCAGTCCTTCAGAAAGCTGGAGAAGTATCAAAAATGTTTGATCCAGAAGATCAAAGAAGGTAAGACCAGCACAGAATCTGTCCTCTGTCCCATTCATCAATATTGTGTCAGTTCTTACAAGCACGTAGTGAGTTGGGACTGGCCTCAGATACATAAACTCCAACTTTAATTGTATTATTAATCTACTACATTTTCTTGAGAAGAGTGGTAACTTTGTTCCTAAAGGCTTTTGTACCCACACTTAAAGTTAATTTGAATTAAGCCAAGATGTGAATTTAAAGCACAAAACTTATTTCAGAATAACTCTCCATGAACAGACAAGCCATGGTCAGAAGCCAAAATGGAGTTCTACAGCTCAATACCAAAGAGCACCTGTGAGATGAATATCAAACATGGGGTATCACAAAGGAAAAAAAAAAGTCACAATATTTCACTGTGAGGTGGGGCCAATTCATAACCACCTCCCCTTCTGATAACAATTACATCAACCTAACTGTACTTCATATTTGTAGAAAAAGAATCTTGCAGTTGCTACATATATTCTTTTTGTTTACAGAGAATAATTTTTTTATTCGAATCCTGAAAAGTACTTCTGATTTGATTCCAAATTGCCAGACAGCTGTCTGCTAAATTTTCCTCCTGAGCTGCCTGCACTAGGGTGTGCTAACACCTACAGTTAATGATTAAGAAAAATAGTCCTTCTGTGATTCACTGTGGAGGGGGAGGCAGGGAAGAGGATGAAAAAGCAACGAGTCTAAATGCCACTGATGATGATGAATAACTATTACAGATTTTTTTTAAAAAAAGCTTAGAGACAGTCCCTGAAGTGAGGCAGGAAGACTCAAGAAACAGGCAAATACAGTTACGCTCCACATGGGGCATCTACAATGCTGACTGCACTGACTACATGACAAGGCAATCAAACAAGCTATTGCCTGCTCCGTGCTCTGCTTCTACTGGGATATGGTCCCCCATGTCTCCTGCCTCAAGTGTTGAAGGAGCTTGGAAGAGCTTTATTCACCCTCCCACAGCACACTGGAATCAAGACAGCATGAAGTTGGCCACTTATCTCCTATTATATTTCCCAGACAGACTGGCCTCAGTGGGAAAACTGCCTTTACCTCTCCTTTCTCTGTCACCTCCAGGTAACCATATGCAAAGTGAGGGCTAGTTTCCACTCTGAAGAAAGAAACTACAATTTGCATAGATCTGTGTCCCCTTCCCAAATCCAGAAAAATCCCATAGCTGTAGAAGAGCCAATTACAAAACTGACTGCTTCTTGAAAAATGAACAGTAACCGATTTATACCAGACACAAGTCAGAGTAAACTTCTTTCTCCCCTCCTGTGTCTGTGTTCAGTATTGCTGTACCTTATCGCAGGTGTCTGCAGTGCCTGGATTACTGGTGTCTCCTGTACTTAGCACCTGAAGGAAGTAAACGCACAGTATCCAGTGATGTGCTGAAGTTACCCCTGTGTAGAATTTCACTGGCTTGCCAGTTGGCACACTGAATTCCTACAGATCTGTTCTAGCAGCTCTCCTCACAACTGAGGCCAGCAAACTTCCAACTAACATTTGCTAACACGTTTTTTTTCCTTGTTTTATATATGTTGTCGGAAACTTTGCAGTCATTAAAAAAAAAAATGTTGTTCCTTGAGAAAAAGAGTTCTTAAATCATCTCACCAACAGTATTTTACTTCCATGCCAGGCAACGGGAGCTAGGAGCTAGAAACTTCAGCCTTGCCCACATGCTTTAGCTCCCAACTCCTGCTTCATTTCAGATTGGTCCACATACAATATTTTGCCTTTGTGCAATAGGCTGAAACCTTAATGCTGAACCTTCACACTAGACCCTTGATCCCCTATTCAAGAGAATCAAACTCTTCTGCTTGTCCATCTCCCAAATGACAGCAGGCAGCATGAAACATCGTTGCTTGAAACACCTGAATTCTCTTTGCTTCACACACTCAGTCATCACTGAAGCCCTGCTTCTCCACAAAACCCAGAACTGTCACAGAGTCTTCTTCAAAAGTACTTCCCACTTAAAAATGAAAGAGGAGTTCGCAGAGCTATTACACTGTCCAGTGAAGAAGAGCTGAAACTATTTAAATCATTGCTATCGTAGATAAATATATCTGCCAGGTCTACTCTCCAAATAGTTTGGCATCAGTTTTGTTGCCAGTTGTTTTGCTCCCACCACTTCTATTCTCTGCATCCAATGCAGAGCTCCACAATGCATTCGAGCTATCCTGATGGCTGTAAATAGCACACTTCTGCCTGCTGTCAGCTACTCAGTAAAACAAGGCTAGCGTAGTTTGGTGTTGGGCCATGCCAGGAATAAAGAAGAGTGACAGGGTAGCTCTTATTATACTTTACTGTACAAAATCTTAATATGGTTATGCACAAAACATACATCAAGGAAGTAATCATTCCTCTGGTCTCTCTCCCCAAATAGGAGTTCTAGGCCGCATGTGGAATATAAGTAGATTGAAGCTTTAAAGGCCTTATGTTAAAGAGCAATCCAAGTCTCATTTAGAGACTGATATTCTCTTCAACCTTCCCATTCATGCA